TTATGGAGATTGATTTTGGAATTTAGATTCATACAGAATGTTTTCATCAATGATCCTGTAGAAGAATCCTGATCAAAAGGAGCAAAATACAGAACAGAATTTCAAATGTACGTAGACTCTTAGGTTTTCTGGGGTCTTGGAGGCTGGAAGAACCCCCTAAAACTATTTTTCCTGAGATAATACTTTTTCCTCCACAAAACAGTATTTTTCATGCACTGAATGAGCCCCACGATGCCCTGATTTCTTACAACGTCACGTTCCTGTTAATTGCCTGGGGGGGAAGATGAGCAGAATGCTGAGAGCTGAGTTCCGTGTCATTGGTAAAGATACGGGTGACATTTCAATAACATCTCTTTTCCCAAAATCAATTACTTCTCCCGCTTTATGAATTGGTGAAATTATTATAAGTCAGCAACATTTTTGTGCTTTCATTACTTTTCGGGATTGAGTTGCAAACTTGATGTGTCCATGGGGGAGCTGTTTACAATAGCCTATAAATGTCTTTCTCCTCTCTCTCTTTTTTTGGGGTGCAGGAAATAACCACATGTTTGCCAGAGTACTACAAGTGGACTCAGTACCTCTTTATTAAACTCTATGAAGCTGGCCTGGCCTATCAAAAGGAGGTAAGTTGAATTTGGCTGCACTTCAAAAATTTTGTTAATCTTTTCCATCTTCTTAAAACCCAGCATTGTTACCCAGAAGCAAGCCTGCTTGCACAGTGATATCTTCTTTGGTCACTTAAAAAAAAGAAATAAAAAGATCTTTTTTTTTTAACTTCCAAGGCCCCTAAGTGGTATAAAATTTACTCTTAAATATCAACTTAGAGGTGGCCAGTTCTAACCCACCTAGCTGCATCAAGGAAGAAAGTCCTGGCAATCCTCTATAAAAATTCCCAAAGCAATCCTATGGAGAAGGTTTCTTCGTAACACCTTGGTCATGAAGAGTCATAATTGAATCAGTGGCCATAAATTGGAGTTTGGGTGGGGTTTTTCCCCATTTTTCTTAGTTTCTTAATGCTGCTGTGACACAGGTACCACAGGTGAGTGACTTTAAAGACAGAAGTTAATTTTCTCTTACTTCTAGAGACTGAAATGAGGGTCATGGCCTTGTCTTTCCTTGTCGATGCCTTGGACCTTCCTTGGTTCTTGGTGATCCTCACATGGCATCTGTCTTTCTTAGATTGTGTCTAAGCTGGTGCTTATAGCTCAGAAGTTAGGTGTTTATAGCTCAGAAATTAGGTTTTTGGAGAGTCGTGGTTTTTGTTGTTTTTTGGGGGCAGGAAATAACTACCATTGATTTGACCATTGTTGCTGTTACGTGCCATTGAGTTACCTGCAACTCATATGACAACAACTCTGAAGCCTGCCCTGTCCTGAGCCAGTGTCAGTGACCCTGAAACATCTATCCTCATTGCCCCAGTTACTGTATGAATCCATCTCATCCCTTGTCTTCCTCTCCTGCGCAGTCCCTCCACCCTTCCAACCATGATGTCCTTCTGCCCAAAGCATGTAAAGTGGAGCTTCAGAATCTTAGCCTCCAAGGAGAAACTTGGTTTCACCATCTCCAAGAAAGACTTTGTTTTCTTGGCAATCCATAGTATGTTCAGGACTCTTCTCCGGCACAAGTCAAAGGTATCGATTCTTCTATCATCCTTGGTCATTGTCCAGCACTCTGATGCACAGCAACTTATTGCAAAGACCATAGCCTAGATTAGGCACACCTTAGTTTCTAGACTGACATCGTTGCTTTTTAGTACTCTGGAGACAATACATTTGACCATTAGTTTGCCATTAATCTGACCTCACTAGCATTAAAAAGAAATAATAATTGTATTTTCAAATAAGACTACATATGTCCACTGGGATAGGAATTAGTGTCCAACACACCAGAATGGGGGCACAATTGCATCCATAACAGGTATCGTGGCAGGTTTTGAGTACATGACACATTGGCTTTCCAATTTTGAACCATGCCGTTTTACCCTGCTCTGTTCTGACTCCTGCCTCTTGGTCCAAGTATAGGCTTTGTATTAGTACGATTAAATGTTCTGGGATTCCCATTCTTCTCAGAGTCAGCCACAGTTTGTTATGATTCATGCAGTCAAACGCCTTTGCATAATCAATGAAACGCAGATATGCATTCTCTGGTATTCCCTGCTTTCAGCTAAGATCCATTTAACATCAGCATACCAATTTACCATGACTCCTAGGCTCTACATTTGATTCCAGGTGTTTGTGGCTACCCTAGGACATGGAATCAAATGTCAAGCCTAGGAGTAATGCAAGCTTCTCAAGGACCAGCACCGCTACCTCTGCCAAGAAGTGTGATTTCGCATCTACTAGGAGGAGATGTGAGCTCTGGTGGCCTGGGGTAAGAAGGTGCACTGCAGTGCTGCAGGCAGGTGGTTCAAGGCCACCAGCCACTCCATGGGCAAAGGATGGACAATCTCTTCCTGGAAACCCACCAGAGGAGGCTCAGTTCCAACTTTGTGGTACACAACAACAATGGCAAGAAGGGATGTGGTTTCTTCCTCGCAGGCTTCTTGGAAGATTGGATGTCACATTTAAAGAGCGTCAAGCACAGCACCACCACATGGCAATTCCCCAGAAATGGAAGTACTTAGTCCCCGCAGAAAGTTAGTGACTGTAGAAAAGGCTTGGATGGTGTGAGAGGAGGGAATGGGTGTCCCAGGGTGGCCTGGAACTGCGCCGTTCTGTGCCACAGCACTAGCCACAGCTGGTTGTTTCCATTGAAAGTACAGGCAGGCAATCAATCCTTGGATTACAAATGGGTTTCTTTCTAAAGTCTAAGTCAAATTTGTATGGAAGTCAAACCAGTTAGGTACAGTGCATATGAAAGGAAGTTAGTCAAATGTTTCTCTTAACATCTAGTGTGTAGCATAACTTTCTAGGCATAAAAAGCATGAAAGAAACGCTTTCAGATATGCCCAAAACATCTTAACACAATATAGTCATGATAATCTTGATATGCGTCACATAGTAGCCCAGTGTGTTATTATGAACCATTGTATGTACCTTTGAGTTTTTATAGAGTTTTATTTGTAACTGTGGGTTAGATGTGAACTGGACATTAGGACTCAGGACTGCCTGTAGTGAAAGTGAAGGCATATTAAAAATTCAGTTCCATGCTCCCTTCGGCAGCACATATACTAAAATTGGAATGATACAGAGAAGATTAGCATGGCCCCTGCGCAAGGATGACACGCAAATTCGTGAAGCGTTCCATATTTTCGACCCTGAAATTAACCAGTCTGTAACGAAGGCTAACTCCTTTCACCTACAAATTTCGTCTTTGTATACAAAGCTAAGTGGATAGTCCTTATGGAGGGACTGTTTAAAAAAAAAATTCAGTTCCTCGGTTACATCCCAGTGCTTAATGGCCTCATGTGGTTTGTAACTATATCTGGGCAGCCCAAGTGTAGAAGAACATTTCGGCCATAATATAAAGTTCTATTCACATTGGTTTAGAAAGTGGAGAAATAACAAACGGAACAATATTGGTTATTTAAAATACTTGTTGAGTTTTTTTAAGGGGCAGGAGGAGATGTTGAGTGCCCATTAATATCGTGGGTAAATGAAAAGTAGGAATTTTATGGAACTCAGTCAGACAAATGTGTAGCAGTTACAAACTCTCTTGGGTCAACTGGGTTTCTTAAATACACTATAGGGAAGCTCTAGTAGAGAGCCAAGAGGATAGAGTTGTGCTGCCAACCCAAAGGTGGGTGGTTCGAATCTACCAGTTAGTTACTCCTTGGGAGAATAATGGGCATTCTCCTCCCATGTGCTTTATAGCCTCTGAAAACCCACTGGAGGGTTAGTTCTGACTTGACAGAGGTGAGTGAGTGATGTACTGGGTCTCCAAACAGAAAACTAAATTCATTGCCTTTGAGCTGCTTCTGACACATACTAAACCTGGGAGGCAGAGTAGGACTGCCCCATAGGGTCTCCAAGACTCTGTATCTACCCAGAAGTTAAGCTGAGAAATCTTTCTCCTGCGGAGTAAATGGTAGGTTTGGATCAACAACCTTTCTGTTGGCCTCTGAGTGTTTTAACTATTACACCACCAGGGCTTCCTAAACCCGCTAAAAAGCCAAGCCCACTGCCGTTGAATCAATTGTCAGTTATTGTGACATTCTATCAGATTTATAAGGCTATTTAGTGGGAAAGACTGCCTCGTCTTTCTGCGTCGTAGCAGCTAATGGGTTTGAATTCCTGACCAGCACTTAACGTTCTACGCCACCAGGGCCCAGAGATAAGAAAATTGAGAAGGGTCAGAGACAGACCTTTTCAAACTGCATGCCTGTTTGATGAACATAATCCTTGACTGCAGTAAACCTTTTTAGTGTCAAAACGTAATTTTCAGAAGGTTAAAAATATGACTCCCTTAAAAGCTTGAATATGTACCAAAGGGTTTATTCAATTCTTTAATTAAGATCAGTAAGATTTTAAGAGTCACAGAAATAGAGAAATGAATTTGCTAACACAATCAGAACTGCTTAATGTGCTACCAGGCATTGAACCTAACCTTCAAGGCTGCCTTTTCTATGCAACAGAAATCATTTGCATTGTCATTGGGTGGAAACCATTTGCATTAGTCTCAGACACAAGTAATTTGCATTGCTATCTGTCACTTCTTTCTATACGGAGCTGTCCACCATTGTCTGTCACTGGGTCCAACTGCAGGGCCTTGCATGTTGCAGTGATGCTGGAAGCTATGCCACTGGTGCTTGTAATACCAACAGAGTCACCTATGGTGGACAGGTTCCAGGGGAGTGTCCAGACGAAGACAGATTAGGAATCAGGACTGACCATCTGCTTCAGAAATAATAGATCTTTGGAAACCCCACGAGTAGCAGTGGAATTCTGTCCAAATCCAGTGCCAAAAAGGAAGAACCTTCTTAGTATTTCTCAAGCTGAGAGAATTGAAGTCAGAAAGCATTTAAAATCTGACTAGGGCAGAGCTGACTCTCCAAGTAGAGTACCTTCCACATGGATGAAGTAAATCTTTCAGCCAATGAAGGGCCTTCACTCAAAGTGAAGAGGAACGGCCGCAGACGGTCATTAACGATTAGAGTGTAGACTGTACAAAATAGGAATCCAGGAAAACTGGAATTTGCCAGAAACTCACAGGGAATGCTTAACAGTTGTTATCTTTGATATTTGTCAGCTAAAATGGGGTCCTTTTGAATCAGACAATCTTGTTGTTGTTAGGTGCCCTCAAGTAGAGTATGACCCATAGCCAACCCTGTGAACAACAGATCAGAACCCTGTTCCATCCTGTACCATCCTAACACTTCCTAACATACGACAGCCCATTGCAGCAATCATTGTGTCAGGCCATTTGGTTGAAGGTCTTCCTCTCTTTTGCTGACCCTTCATCTTTCTAAGCGTGATGTCTCTTTTCAAGGAATGGCCTCTCTTAGCAACACACCTAAAATATGTGAGTCAGTGCTTTATTATCTTTGCCTCCAAGGAGCACTCTGGTCACACTTTCTCCAAGACACATCTGTTTGTTCTTTCAGCAGTCCGTGGGATGTTCAACACTCTTCTCCAGCACCACAGCTCAAAGGCATCAATTCCTCTTCTGTCATTCTTATTCATTGTCCAGCTCTCAGATGCATAACAAGTAATCGGAAAGACCATGCCCTCAATCAGGTGCACCTTAGTGAGTCTATATCAGGAATAACAAATTAAAGAGACCTAGCAAGGTGTTCATGGTCATTAAAGAAAATTTCAAGATTTACCCTAATACACAGTGCTGTCAGTAATAGGATAAAATTCGTATGTATATAAAAGGAAGACCTGTTTATAAGATCAGTATTAAAGTTTATTCATCTTTTAGATTAGTGCAGGTATTGAAAATTTCTGCCAACTTCTGTAGTCTGATTGAACATGCAATTAAGATGCATTAATAATAACAACTAATTAGAATGCAGAAGTTAGAAACGAGAGGATGGTAGTTGCCAAATACATCCTTGGTGATAGAAATAAGGCCAGAGATCACATGATAGAAATTTGTGCAATCAATGGCTTATTCATTACAAATAACTTTTTAAAAACATACATGGTGACTACACATGTTGTTGTTGTCGTCGACTTTGCCAAATGGAATACACAGGAACCAAATCGAGTCAGCTACACTTGTGTAAGCAGAAAGTGGGGAAGCTTAGTGTCAGAAGTCAGAACAAGGCCAGAGCCCAACTGGGGAAGAGATCATCAGCTGCTTATATACAACTTCAAATTGGAGTTTAAGAAAATGAAAACAAGTCTACAAAAACCAAAATACAGCCTTGAGGTTTTCTCTCCTTTAACAGCATGGTAAAAACTTCTGAGTATTCTCTTTTTATTAAAAATAGTCTCGGACTCCTATTTCAGTTCTGTCATAAGCTGTGACCATGGAAAAATAGGGACAGGATTTGGACTGAGCATTAAGAAACCTCTGGAGGGTTTCCGTCTTTTAGTCCTGCCAAGCGTGGTCCACCAAAGTGTTCCGTTCCAAGTTCCTCGTTCTCATAAAACAAAGTATTCTCAGCTCTATCTAGTAACATGGAGGCTTCTGTTTGGTATTACATTCATTTCACCTCTCTGGTTTATAAAAGGTTTTATCCCAAGGAGATAGTTGTTCAAGAGAAGAATGATGCTTTTTTATGCCTGGCATCCTAGCAACTGTGGTGTTCATACCGTCACCTACTACATGGTTTTATCTTTTGCTCTCGCTGCAATTTTAGCCTCAGTGAGAGTGCAGATCCGCACGCTTCTGCAAGGTTTGCCTCGTGGCCTTGTCTCCATAAGGCTCGCTGGCGCCCAAGCAGCCTCTCCCACCTTGCTGCTACGTGGCTTCAGAATATGGCAGCAGTAACAAAATAAGCTGTAGCCTTGGGAACAGTTCCTGGATTCAGTCCCAAGTCAGGCTCGTTCCAGATAGAACAGATCGGGATCAATTTGGAGAGTTAGTTCCTTTAATGAGGTCTGTGCGGTGCTCTTTAATTAAGCATGCTTTTTTTCAAGAAAAAGCTAATAAACCTTGAGAAAAATCAATATCCTGCAAGTTGGGCTTTGCCAGCTTTCTGCACGCTGAGGCTGCCCGGGAGTGTGCTCAGAAGAGGTCGTGGGTAGGGAAACAGCAGACCTTGAGAATAAAGTGAGGGAAAAAGATGGAGAGTAGCCAAGGGCTAAGGGAGTGAGACAGTGGCTGGAAGCCAGAAGCACACTGACGGAGGAATGTGATCTGGAAAGTTCCCTGTGGGAAGACATACGGCCCAGGACTGGGTCACCGGGGAGGGGTGCAGGGGAAGAGGAAGATGTGGGATGAGAGGCAGAGTGTTTGGAACGGGAGACCTGGACACAGTCGCTAAAAGTAGAGAGCAGAGCTGATGAAAGGGAAGTCAGAGTCGTCCTGTGCAGGTGACCCTCAGAGGAGCATGTTTCGTCCACATCGCCAAGGGTTTGAAGGCCCAGAAGGTGGGAGGGGAGGAAGGGAAAGGCAAAGATGATGGATGCCCAGCGTCCCACCGTCATTGTATAGTATGAAGCCCCTGAGACAAACATCATCTCAAGTATAGTTGCGTTATGGCGAGCACTTCCAAGAACTCACCATAGCTCATTCAGACAGAAAAATGAGACCTAGTGTTTAACTCTTGATCAGTTGGGTTTGTTCTCTTATTTGGAACAACTTGTTCGGTGATGTCCCTGGAAAACTGTGAGAGGGCCCAGTGTTTGCATTTGTTTTGACGATTCCAATGTGATTTGAGGTTGATTTCAAAATGCAGGAATTACAGTATAAATCCAGCTAGTTAACTAGAGAGCATAATTGCCAATCAGGGAAATGCATATAGTCAGTATCGTTGCCCAGAAATCATATCCTATGCAGCACAACTGTTTGCACAAAAATCCAAGCATCCATCAGAGTGAATGTTCAAAATCTAAAATCCCTGTAATGGAAGGCTCTAGCTTTGGGGGAGAGAAGGGATGTGTCTACGGCTTCCAGAAGCTCCTCCTGTTGTTTCACCGGCTGGCGTCAGGGGTCAAGGTTTAACCACCTGGGGAAAAAAGTCTGAGCCTGAACCCTATAGTCCTGTGGTGGAAGGGACTGTCACTCACTCTCTCTCATTGCTGTTGGCTAGAACCAATTCGCAGCTGACCCTCCATTGGGATTCTGAGGCTGTAAATCACACGAGAGGCGATTGCCCAACTCCTGCGGAGTTGCTGGTAGATTGGAACTACCAGACAGGCTTGGCCTCCTGGTTAGCAGTGCATCTTGATACAGACTCAGCTCCAGAGCTCCCCAGGGACTGGAGGACTGAGAAGAAACTCAAAAGACCCTGCTCGTAGCTGATCCTTGATTGAGACCCCTTTTCCTTTGGTGTTTTTCTCTTCTCAGGTCGTCCCCTTGGGCGGAAATAATCGTTTTTGTGTTTTACTTTTATTTGTCTTGCATCTGACACCTAGGTTTTATTGTAAAATAAAACCTCTTAGAAGCACATCTTCTTTATTGCATATTGTAACCTCGAGCTTGTGTGGGAAATTTTGATAAGAAAACAAAGGCCTGTTGGGTCTTGCGGTCACCAATAGCAAGCATGTTTTCTCCTGTGTCCTCTGAGATTTGTAAGGGAGGTAGAAGTGGAAGTAACACTGCTCTTCTCCTCCCATCATGTTTCTTATCTTTTTTTAAAGGGATAGACCTCTTGAATGAACTAAGTTATTAATTTATTAAACAATATTTAACCATTTATTTTTCTCTTTGCTTTGAGTGGTACTCCTCCCCCCACCTCCCCTAATTCAGACAGTGGTATAGATAAGTAAATCTCTTTGGGTTTATTAGCCTGCAGTTTTGAGGTCTAAGCGATCTTATTCGGGGTTCTCACCAGGTTATGTCCTTTTGTCCCCTGAATGACACAGGCACTGGTGAACTGGGACCCCGTAGACCAGACGGTGCTTGCCAATGAGCAGGTGGACGAGCATGGCTGTTCCTGGCGCTCGGGAGCGAAGGTGGAACAGAAGTACCTCCGGCAGTGGTTCGTTAAGACCACTGCATACGCGAAGGTGAGTGCCGACCTGGAGGCTGCGCTCCCGCCCTCCGTGCTTGGGGCAGCGCGAAGGCTGGCTGGGATTGGCGAGCCTCCGTGATGGGGTGAATCAAGAAGGGCTCTCAGAACCACGGGCACGCAGACAGGAAGCCGATGGGTTGTCAAGGTGCCAGTCAAGGATGGCACCTGGAGGTCGTTGTAGGCTGTTGTTTGCTGACCTTTCAACTCACAGAATATTGTACCTCCACAGGAGCCTAGAAACATTCATCCTCACCTGTAATTATGTCAGCAATGAAGGTTAAAAAAAAAAGTAGAAAAGAAATCTTTCACTATGCTGTTTTCATAAAATTCCAAGAAAGAGGGAATGACATTTCAGAGGGTCCAGAGAAGACTGCCTAAGAGACAGCCCTTCTCCAGGTGGGAAGGCCAGAACAAAGATGAGTTAAACCAGGAATGAAGCTCTGGGTTTTACTCTTGTAGTGTCCCTGATTAACGGTGTAAACACCAGGCCTCGGATTCTTCATCCACAAATGAAGATGTTGGCCCAAGTGATCTTTAAGGTACCTCCTGGCTTTTTATGTTCAGGAAGTCACTGCAAAGCCAGCCGCTGAAAGAAGACACTTGCTTATTAAGTCCCCAGTAGCCTGGGCAAAATAACGAGTTCTCTTCATGTTCTGCAGAGTTACCTTTGAAGTTACTGTGTTTTGGGGTACTGAAATTGAGAGGTCCTCCCTCAAACTCCAGAAAGACTGATTAGAGCAAATGAAGAACCCATCACAAGGCAGTTTGATGGTCTCTGTATCTCATTAGCATAAGGCTAAACATAAAGACTGAAAAGCTAATGGTGTGTGAAGCACTCAGCATGTATCTTGATATTCTTCTCCTGTGGTGGTTGTGTACCATCAGGTCAGGATTGACCCACAGCTTACCCTCTAGCAAGTTTTCAGAGGCAGCAAACTGCATGGGAGGAAATTGCCCATCTTTCTCCCACAGAGCAGCTTAGTGGATTTGAACCGCATAACTCCTTTCCACTAGACCACCAGAGCTTCCTGTGGTAGTCACTGTAAAATGGAATAGTTCCCTTCCTTAGTAGCCTAGGGAGCTCTGGTGGCATTGTCTGTAGAGAGTTGCACTGCTAACCCAAAGGCTGTGTCTCTGGTGGTTCGAATCCACCTGTGGCTCTGAGAGAGAAACGTGGGCAATCTCCTGGGTGGTTTATAGCCTCAGACACCCAGTGAGGGGTCAGCTGTGAACCAATTTCAACTTAAAAACAGTGAGCCTCCGAAAACCCACTGGAGGGTCAGCTGAGTCAGTTCTGACTCGATGACAGTGAGTTATTGCTGGTCCCTCATAGCCTAAATGTTGCTTTGCAGGGGTAGGGAACGAGACTGACCTGAACTCTGGGTCAAATCTAATACTGCAGTTCTTAGGTGCAAAGAAAGCACAGCGATAACCGTTGACCACTACAGAACTCTGCTGAGTTAGAATTCAGCTTTCAGAGCAGTATACCAGCTTACCACATGAATGCCATATGGAAATGTGACCTCCCGTTGTCTCATGCAGAAGACATAGCTTAAATGAGGCTCATTTCCCTTTACAGTTTATTCAGAATGCACTAGGGAACTGCATATGGATTTGAAACACTACTCGCTAGAGCTTGCTCTCACAGTTTGCTCCTTGAAGCATACAGTAATAGTGGGGCAGTAGATGGGAACGTCGCTGAGTGTGTTGCTCTCTGTACCGTCCCAGGCAGAGGGAAACTGTGCTGGATGACCATCCAGTACAAAGGCGAGTCTATTGCATTACTGGGAGGGCTACCAGGTCACCCCACGGACCTGTCAGGTGACCCTCTTAATAGCCATTGCTGGGTAGGTTTCCTAACTAGCTCTTTTCTTCTGACCTCTGCCTCCAGTTGGAAATGCAATAACCTAACTGAGGGGCATTATTCCTTCACTTGTCAGCGCTGCATTTTCAACTCTTCAGCAGATATTGTTAGTTACCATGGTGACGTGCCCGGCTCTTGCCGAACTCCTGTGTAGATTTCTTTAAAAAGCTGTCTTTGGAGGTCAGCCCTTGGTTTGCCCTGAAAATAAAGAGAAGGAGTGGCGTGGGTGTGGTAGGGGTGGACAGAAATCTATTTTCACTGCAGGCCCCTAGTGGAGGGCTGTGCTGTTCATGCGCAGAACGTGACTCCATGTGTGCTAACAGCAGATGATCGCTGCGAGGCTGAGAGCAAACAGAGATGGACAATGCTGGGAGACATGGACTTACAGCCCAGCCAAAGGCATTCAGTTGAGACTCAAGAGGGTCATACCTTAAGAGTAAGGAGGGAGAGAATAGTTTAAAATTAATATATTTTAGGGCATTATGATTATCATAAGAGTCC